AAATCTCAATGCACAGTCCTCTTGTTGTGCTGTATCTTGCTTAGGCGTTTTTCTGTTACCTCATAATTTAATAAGTTTCCAGTATTTGGAGGAATCTCTGAACTTATCTAACTTGTGACCAACAAGCAAAGATGTTGAGATTCAGGACTCCTTTCCGTGCTAAAATTGCTGTAATGCAATAGTATTCAGCTACTGTGTCATGAAGAGACCACAGACCTCCCAGAAGAATATTCTAGTGATGTAACTCTAGAAGGGTGTCCTGTATCTTTGAGCTTTTAGAAAAATGACTTATTTACACAGTGCCAGGACTTTAGTCTTGTGCAGCTAATGCTCAAAGCAATCAAAAGTATCCAGCTGAATAACTGGGGGTTTCTAGAACTAGGATACTCTCAAAATAGGAACTTTGCCTGTTGTATGTTGCAAATGATTGGGCTCGGAGTTCAGGTCATCACTTAGCTCCAAATTCAACTATTTTTGAGGATAACAACACACAGTAGGAAATTAATACCCATTCAGTAATGTCACTTGTCTGGTGCTAGTAGTGATTTTCATTCAAAATTTGGGCTTAATTGCAGGCAGCTACCCTACATCTTGCAAGTTCTGTGATCACAGAGCTTTTTTTTTTTTTTTTTTAATTCAAACCAGTTGTATTCTTTGGTGGATTTGATGATTTGAGAAGATATTTTTTCTTTACATAAGACATTTAGATAGTTTGGTAAGTCTTAGGGGTAAGGTTGTCTCACATCTGCTATATGTGGTCCTTTAGATTGTGAGGGGAAAGCTTAGGAAATTTGTTGAAAATTATTATTGCATCGAGAAACCTATAATTTACACAATGGGCTGTCTGTGAAGAATTTTGGAGATCTTACAGTGTTTTGTAGGCTTGTTTTTCCCAATTTGACTTCATCTAAGATTCAGATTTCTCTTGAGACCTCAGGCTAATGGGACTTTGTTGAAGACATGAGCTAGAAGATCTGCCAAGACCTGGTTTTCCTGTATGATGCTTGGGTTAAGCTTAAAGTATGTTTATGGCAACTTCTGTTGCTATACCTGTAGTCACAGCTAGTGAGCTAAAAATTCAGTTTGCTCTGCAAAACAGCTGAATTAACATGGTTGGGACTGTCCATTCTAGTGTACAGTGATTTAAAGGGCAGCTTACTAAGCATGTTTTGTATAAATAAAGGTAGTTTGACCTTTCTCCTGAAAAGATCATTAAGCTGTTGTTCAAAAAACCACTTCCATTGCTTACATTTCATTCAAGGAGATTTACTGAAGTTTTCTTCTAATACAAAATCTTGATTCAATTTTTGTATCAGTCTAATCAAACTTGAAAGGGTTTTCAGAGGTTTTTTTTAAGATACCAGTGAAGTGAAAGTGAAAGCCGAAGCAAAAATTACTATCTTCCCAGGTTTTTCTGATCTCGTATCATGTTGTAAGCTCTTTTCTTGAAATCATGTGGTTAGGTGCCTGCAAGAGAAAAACACTAAACTGGATATTAGAATGCATTTGTAAGATTATGCACCGATGTCAATGCATGTTATGAAGTTAAAACCTTAGAAGTTGCTTTAATTACATCAGCTATTAGAGACCAAAGTAGCAGTTGGAAAAAATGCCTCATGTGATATATACTTTTTAAAAATTTTTTAATGTCCTTAAGGACTCTTCATAGAGCTATTCAGAATAGGGAGGCTGATGAGAATCAATAGCTTTGGCTTTTGTGTGTCTTTCACTTTCCAACAAGGGTGGCCACAAAACAGGAAAGAGATGGAGGATTTATTTTTCATTTTCTTTAAGATCATCTTGAACTGAGAAGTTCCCTCTTGCAAGGCATTTGAAGAAAACATATGTTGTCTTGCTCTTCCCATCCATGTCAAAGGAGTAACCATGGTAAAAGGAAATATGGTCAGGGTAACACCCTGGGCTGAACATCAGTATGCACTATGTACTCCGTGACTTATGTTAGTTAACTTTCCTAAACATCTATGTTTCTTACTCCCTGTCTGGCTTTGTATGATTAGCATAACTCTTGCACAAAAGACTAAGGGTTATAACTAAAGTCATTAGTTGTCCTGGTTTCGGCTGGGAGAGAGTTAATTTTCTTCCTAGTAGCTGGTATAGTGATATGTTTTAGATTTAGTATGAGAAGAATGTTGATAACACACTGATATTTTCAGTTGTTGCTAAGGAGTGTTTAGACTAAGTCAAGGATTTTTCAGCTCCTCATGCCCAGCCAGCAAGAAGGCTGGAGGGGCACAAGAAGTTGGGAGGGGATGCAGCCAGGGCAGCTGACCCAAACTGGCCAAAGGAATATTCCATACCATGTGACATCATGCCCAGTATATAAACTGGGGGGAGTGGGGCTGGAGGGGGGATCATTGCTTGGGAACTAACTGGGCATCGCTCGGCAAGTGGTGAGCAATTGCATTGTGCATCACTTGCTTTGTATATTCCAATCCTTTTATTATTATTGTCATTTTGTTATTGTTATTATTATCATTATTAGTTTCTTCCTTTCTGTTCTATTAAACTGTTCTTATCTCAGCCCATGAGTTTTACCTTTTTCCTTCCAATTGTCTCCCCCATCCCACTGGGTGTAGGGGAAGTGAGTGAGCAGCTGCATGGTACTTAGTTGCTGGCTGGGGTTAAACCATGATATTAGTGCTCAATGAGTTTGCGTATACACACATGAATGTGTTGGTTACAATGATTTTTATATGTCTGAGTCTCCTCATGCTGTTATTGAAGAAATTATTCCAATGTGTTTCATAGCGCCTAACATAGAGACTCCTCTTTCATTTGTAGCTGCTCAGTGGGTCTCTAACATAATAAGCAATAAAAATGGGGCTGAAGGGTGTTGGCTGTTGTTTAGTAATGTTCTGCATCATGATTTCTGGTTTTGGTTTTTTTGGTTTTTAGCATTAATAAGTATTTTTCTAACTTTAGCATATGAATCAGAAAATACTGCATCTCTACCATGTACAGTGAGTGGCGAGACAGACTCTTTGGTGTGAAATATCATGCAGTTGTAAATACACTCATAAACTGGCAGATTAGCAAGTCAAATATGGTGAGTCATCAAACCGATCAAGCAAATCTGGATATGAGCCCTTTACTGATAGACTATTTACTTGAAACAGCCAAAGGGTATAGTATTTCAAATCCGATTTTGTATATGAATACTTGGAAAGGGGAGCTGGTTTTAAAATTCTAGCAAACAGCTGTGTTCAAACTTAGCTTTCTAACCAAGTGGCTTCTGTTACAGATTTTCTTGCATATATTCTCATAATGTATTATAGTCTTTGTTATAACAGAGTGTCTGATGTTGTAACTCAAAATCCTTACCCCAAGCAACATGATTCAGGTTCAGTCAGAGCTTCTACTTTTGTATTTGTGTTATTGTGTCTGCATCCTAAGCAGGTAAAATATCTGTTTCTTGATTAGGCACAGTCATAAAAGGCTGCCTTTACTTTCTAGACAGTGGACTCTGTATTTTCATATCTATTTTCCTGCCTCGGTGTTAAAGTTAATTGAGTATCTTTGCTTCTGTAAGGGCCTAGTTTAATTGCTATTACGTAAATCAGCTGTTCTTACTAAACCCTCTTTTGGGCTAACTACTACAGAGTTTTAATATCTGTTTTGCTAAGCAAAGCATTAGCACCAAATAAAATACTGTTTCTTTTTCTTTCGTTCTCTCTCTGTCTGTCTGTGTGTCTTCTTTTTAGGGAGACAGATATGGCCTAAAGACATATAATTTCTTTTGGTTTTAAAGTGGATTCTGTGTGAAAGATGCAAGCCTCCTTCAGGATTTTTTCTTTTTTCTAAATTCAGAGGATCTCAGAAAAGTAGGAAAAATAGGGGCACTATATTTCAGAGCATGACAGAAAGTATATTTCAATACAAAGAAAAGATTTAAGATTCTCAGAAATGTGTTTGCTCTCTGAAAGTCCTATACTGTTGTTCTAGAACTAATGTAACTGCTGTAACAAGACCAACAATGGGAAAACTAGTGTAAGTTTTGCACAAAATCTTTTTTTTCTTAGCTACTCTGAGTAACTAGGTACCTCTGTTCTTGTTTTGTGATAGTGCTTGTGATGTTACTAGTGTGGAAAAAACATCTCATGTAGACAAAGATGCAGGGTTTTATATTAAGGCATTAATTGTATGGGAAAATTGTAGAATTTCCTAATCTTACTACTCAGACCTTCTGTTAGCTGAAATATCTTTTGATTTAAACATACATTTACTCAAAATGAGATAGCATTTGTAGGAGAGAGCGGTCTCATGTCAAAATTACCATCAAAAGAGGTTTTACAGGAATGTTTTAAAACAAATGCTTAAGACAAATACTTGCTTTAAGATGATTCTTTCTAAGTGCATAAATAATAAATATCACCAAACATTACCTCTCCCTCTTCACATTTTTTGGCACTGTGCAATAAATGACATAAACATGTGGGTTCAGTTTTATTGCTGATTAGAGGTTTGACCAATAACTGGTCATACCACTGACTTCAAGGCCTTGAAATCAGTGGGATTATTTAATAAGTAAGGTATTCCATATGTAGTAGTTTGAATAGTTAGCTAATAGAATGGCGGCAATAAAACTCTGGTAGAACAAGGTTTAGACAACCAACCAAAGGTCCTCTGCGAAAGTGGGTAAATATTCTAGCTTTTTATCCAGACTAGAGACAATGCTGTGGCTACAGTGGTAGCAGTAACTGTAGTAATTTAATGCAAATCCAGATACATCTTCTGTGGACATCTAGTCAGCATGCGTTGTTAGTTTCTCTGAAATTTATTAAAATACTATGCAGGGCTGAGATTTTAGTTATGATGCAAGCAAATCAAACAGCAACTCCATAGTCAAATGGGGATTTGGAGTTTGTTTAATGCTGCTTTTAAAAAGTTATTTTGAAGCCATGTCTGGGAAATAGAAAATATTAACATGTATGTTTATGGGGTTTTTTAATGCAGAGATAATATTTATGCATTTGTTTCAGGTATAATTAAACGAAGTTTTAGTGCTTCTGAAAGACAACCTCAGGTTAGGTAGGTACAATTTATGATTTTAATACAGATTATTTAATTAATCATTGTTATGATCAATTCCAGTTGGTCGTTTCACAGTGGAACAGTTGCATGATTGCCTTCATGAAACATTTCCTTACTTATCATTACAACTTCATTTTATCTCAGCCTATGACACTCAATCTGCTTGAGGATATTATTAGAGGGCGTTTGCACACAGAAACTTTACATGAGTAATTTAAGGGCTGGCATTAAACTGATAAATAGTTTTAAAAGTGGACCTTGCTACATCAGCTTAAACTGACATTAGTTGGTTAGCCAAATTCTGGTTTTGCATTTTTAAGCAGCTGTTTTTCCATAGAAAAATGTGTTTGTACCTTTGACAGTGTAGAGTAATATCTTGTCCCTTTGAACTCCTCTATACCTTCTATATAAATGTAGATATGCGTTTTTGGAATTCTGGAGTCCTCATTTCTTTCAAAAAGGAAACAAAGCGAAACAGAATGTGGTATGGCCATCCCCATTCTCCTTCTAAAGGTCTTTCCTTTTGTTTTTGTTATTTATTCAGAAATGCATCAAACACATTCTTGACCAACCGTTATTTTTTCTGATCTCCTTGGCACCACTCTTGTTCATAGACTCTGTTCTTAGTTTCTTCATTTCTGCTTTTCTTTCACATCTGAACAAGCTCTCCCCCAACACTCCTGGCTCCATCTGCCTCTTGAACAATTTTTTCCTCTTACCTTTAACTTAACCAGGTAAGTATTTATAATAACAGCATTGATTCCTCTCTGCTGTTTCTCCACAGACCCTGTTTGATCCAGCTTTCACTTAAGGAATATTACTGTAGCAACTCTTACTAAGCTGTTTAATGACCTCTTCAAGTCACAGTTCCTTTATTTTCTTGATCTGCTATTTACCATTGGTGCTATCTTTGTCATCTTAAAACCATGCTTTTCTGACTCTTCTGACTCTATCTTTTTCTAATTCTCCACATAACTTTTGAAACTATTCTTAAGGGCCATTCAGAAGGATACTAGTTTATCTGTTAATCTATTTCCTCTGAATGTTACATGTGGCTTTACCACTGATTCTCTTTGTCTTTTCTTCTGTGTCTTTTCTTTGCATGTACAAATGTGGCTGCTTACTCATCTACCTACAAAATCATGCTGCAAATCATGAATTTAGCTGCATACACGAGATATATTTCCTTATGTCTACACTAAATTTTTGTTTATTTCTTTAAGATCTCTTTGTGGCTATACAGTTGAGTACTACATTACTAAAAGGAATGTCCTAATTGCCTGTACTTGAAGTCCTACCCATTAGCTTGGTTTTTGATCATTCTTGAAAATAACATCCATCCTCGCCAATATTTTGATATCTGAGCAACCACTTTAACTTGTGCATCTCTCAAAGTTCTTGCATTCAGAATGAGTCTCACTGTTCTGCCTGGCACCTCTAAGATATATCTTTCCTATCAATATACGCTGCTGAAACTCTTGCTTGGGTTCATAAGACTATCATGCAAACATCTTTCCTGGTTTTGATACATGCATTCTAGTCACTCAAATGCCCATTCAGAACACTGCTGCAAGGAACATTTCTACAGCCCTACCTTCAACCTTGCCATCTTCTGTGCGTGTCCTTTTACTGGTTATGCTTTTCCTATCACTTCAATGGCAATACTTTATTTTTGCTTTCAGAGTTGTTCTCAGCATATCACCATCCAGTCTGTCACATATCACTGACTAGCTTTCCAGCTTCAGTCCTGCTGCAGCCAGTAATGGCAGCTTCCTGATGCTTGAGCATTGAAGCAAGCACATTTTTTTTTCTCCATCTCTGCCCCTCACATAAACATTAGCAAAACTGTTTCCTTATCTTTCTTCATAACTACTCCTCGAAACTGTAGTTTTCCCTACTGCCCCAAAAATATATACATATTCTTGCCATACTAGGGCTGTTGAGGCTGCCATCCATCAGGACATCATATTGGTTCTTTCAGTTCCCCATCAGTCTGTATCCCTTTGTTGTTGCTTATCTCAGCTAGTGAAATCTGCAGGCTGGGACAGCGTTTGTGTAGAGTATAGAGCAGAAGCTAGCATTGAAACATCTGGATCTATATTTCTGACATTGAGGTATTGCTGTCCTGGCGATGTAATGTTAATTTTTTTCCCCACTTTACTAGTACTGTGTGCATTATTACTCCTGTTTTTATCCACTAGACAGTAATTACTTTATTCTTCATGTTTTCTATCCATAAAATGGGTTAATTGAAATGTCCTTAAACATGTACAAATACAAAATAATGTGTAATCTAGTGGATTACTGAGTTTCAAATATTAAAAACCTGTCTACTGTTTTTGTACTTTCCAAGCTAAAAACTGAACAGGGAAAGGAATGGAGTCTAACTTTTATTTAGCAGAAGTCATGCTATTTTGGACATAGAGTAAGCCAGCCTTTACATGACTTATAAATGCATGGGTAAAAACTAGTGAATTTGGACAGATTTTCTTTAGAGGAAACATGAGATGGAGTCAGGGAATACTGATATTTACTCTACAGTCATTGATGCCAAACACAATTAAAAGTACCTGCCTTTTTTTTTCTTTTCTTTTTTTTTTTTTTTAATAATAATAGAGATTATATTGAAGGTCCAGGATCAAGACTGCGACCAGGTAATTTTGTGCTTGCAACAAAATTTAACTTAAATTAAACCTGATGATTTCCAAGTTTTTAAACTTTATTCTCCTGTTGCATATAGAGTGTCTCCTTTTATTTCTTCAGCTTTACTGCCTCTTGGTCTGCTCTTTGGAGTGCCTCCACTCATGTGCAGGGCCCACACTAAGAAAATAGAGGATTTGTTCATGGCGGTTTCATAGTCTCCAACTTGTAGTTCTTTGCAATATGAAAAATCATGGTATTATCTAATAATTATATTTTTAAATGTTAGAAAAGGAGATAATAACATTTCAGATACAAATACGTTATCTGAAATAACCTTAAGCAATTTTTAAAAAATATGAATTCCAGTAGTAAACCATTTTAGTAGACTTCATTTTAATGGTCATCATCCTGGCTAAACTTCTGCTAAATGCAATGGGAATTTCTCCTGTGAAAGGAATATTTCATAGAGCCCTTGTAAATTATCACGTATTTATACTTCATCATTGATGAAACAAGTTTTCCATTTCAGATACTTTTCTTTCTTAGTGAGAAGCTTCACATACTGTAAGCTGCTAAGCAGTGACTTCAAAATGCAATTGTCTGAATTAAATAATATTTGAAAGAAAATTTTGAGCAGTTGAAATATTGATCATTGAAAAAGTACTTTTTGCCTATACTAACTTCTATTTCACAGCTTTTTGTTACAAAAATTGTATTAGGAATTTAATTATGCAGTACAAATCAAAATTTGTTGTCCACTTTCAGCAGTTTTCAGTGCTGTTTACTGAGGAGTGCCATTATAATGCCAACACAGAGTTTAAACCTACTATCCAGCCATAATGTATCGGAGCTATAATGATCTGCAGACAAACACTTTAGCCTTTGTTATTATTTTCAGTCCTGTGGGTAATCTGAGCAAATCTGATATCTTTTGTCAGTAATGTTTTCCTTTTGGATAAAACTTTTAATAGTTTTCAAGTCCCCAGCAGCTTATTCACACATACATGCCCTCATCCCCCAAATAATGCTATACTTTTGCATTTTAAAAAAATAAAATTGTGGAGTGGTCTGGAGTATATGGACTTTATGAGAACTCCTAAATTTCCTCGCTGAACATTGGGTCTCTAGCTGTCTTTGAAGCATGTAGACACTACAAGTAGACATTACATCTGAGCCTCCTAAACTGGTAAGTCATATTGTTGCTGTTGTGCTAGAAAAGAGAGAAAGCTCCATACACAGAATGACAGGGAAATCCATATTATGTCCTACTCGGTCCTTTCTGTTTGCTGATATCATTCTAAGCATATTTTTATTCAGAAAAAAAAAAAATTGAGAAGACCCACAAAAGAAAGGGCATTCATTTATTTGCTCTTGTTTTGTAATACAAGCCATTGACAGCAAAAGAGAAATCAAATGCCACAGAACAGGGAACAGTGAAAAAGGTAACATGTCAAGGAAGTAAAGTTTTTATCATTGTCCTAACAAAAACTGGATTCCTAGGTTGTAATAGCAAGACTACACTATTTATTTTGGGATTGAATGTAGTAGTGTTGAAACAGTTGGTAGGTAGAGAGGTGAAAATGAGGCAAAAAGAGCTTAATCAAAATTGTTATTCTCATGGCATATAATATTTTAGATTATTATAGCATGGCTTCCACTGTCACCTTGAGCAGAAAGACCAACCTAAATTCTTCCTTAAGTGGCTCAGGGAAAATGCAAGACTTCTTTTCCTCTTATTGATATTAAGAGAAGACTTAGGGAAAAAATGTCAAACTGAATTTCACTTGCCTTTCTCAACCCATCTGCCAAAAGGCATTGCCACAAAAAATTGGACAGTAGCAATGATGTCATTATCTTCCTGATCCTACTAGAAATCTGTCTCTCTGTGATAGAGGATGACATTTGCTGTATCTTTATTTTCTGTGAGAGCGCAGCTCAGATCTGGTTGGTCCCTAGACACTTCAGTTTGCAAATGTCTCTCTTCTAGTTCTTTTTAAAGTAGCCAGCACAGAAATTCAACAGGAAAAAAAAATATAATAGTTCAGTTGTGGACTAATTAATTTTGGTATTTGGATGTCATCTTCCTCTCAGTAGAATTTTCATTCTTTATACCAGATCACTTTGCCAAAAAAAAAAAAAAAAAAAAAAAAATTAGGTGGATGTAAATCTGTACATAAGACTTTATGATCCTCAGGGTGCTTCTGTATTTAGAATATGGATCTAAATTAGCCTCTGAAATGTAGTTTAGAGGTAACTGTATTTAAGAGAGATACAGGGCTGCTGGCTGAAGTTCAATATTTGGACTTAAGCTCTTTGCTTAGCTTCCAGGTCTAATACTCAACTTGGAAAGACAATTTTGTTAACTAATGTTCTTTTGTGATTTATAGTGGTACTCTGCTGATAAGCTTTTATTTAATATCTGGGTCTGACAATGTGTATGACTTAAATACACCAGATTAAAAATTATAAATAACGACTGATTTACCACACAAAAATTTGAGAATCTGATTTAGTTTTGGCTCTATACTCTTTCTCAGCAGGCAAAGCATGATAGAGGAGCACTGAGTAAATAAGAATCAAGCTATCTGTTTGTTTTAATTGTTATATTTAAAATCTGAATGATATTTTGTAAATCTGCACAGTTTGTAGAATACATAATATTTACTTCTATGTCCTAATTCTATTAAATTACCTAAAGCTTGATCATCAGTATTTCTCTATTGGTTGTTATGGCTGGAGTTAGAATTATTCCATGCAACACAAATAAATTATTATGTCTTTTTTTGGTTCAGTAGGTAAGTTCATAATGCTCCTTAGTTAACAAAATATAATCAACCTTTTAGGTATAATATCCACAAATCAGTACCGAGTTTACTGTGCTTTGCAAATATTAAGTAATGCTCACTCATTTAGGTAGTCAAGTGAATTTGGTTTTGCTTTTTACCAAGCTGCCTTTGGCTACTGTTTTTCAAATATCTCATTGAACATGGCAGGAAACAAATCACATGGATATTTGATATTAGCAGCTGGTAAATTAGGACAGTTTTGCTTCAGAAAAAAAGCACGGTGTTTTAATCACCAAGCTGCTTGTACTACAAGAAAAAATGTACCTACAGCAGACAAGTATGTCTATCTCAAATTCTGGATGACCAAGACCATGTCTGATTTAACAGCTGTTTGTGATTAAGTCCCAAACAGTAGTTCAGTGGGGGAAATAAACTTTCACTTTCAGCTTTTGTCTTCAATTCTTGAACTAAATATTTTCATATAGCTGATATATTTTTTTATCTGTTTTTAACACATAGAAGTAAATGAACAGGTTAAAATTGTTGTGTTAAATTTATTTTGCTGAAATAAAAACATAGCTTCTATTCATGCATGACTTCCTTTGCAGTGCTTTTGTCTATGAAAAGTATACATTATATACATGGATTTGACTGACAGAGGATGGTAGTCTAGCTTTAGAGGAAGAGGAACAGGTTTATACCTACTCACTATTTTCATAAGATAAGAAAAATTCCGTTTTCTTGCTCCTTGCCATGATAATTAATTCACACTTATCTAAATGAAATCAACAATAATCTAATAAAAATGATATGAGGAAGCCTAAATATTTGAAGTACTACAATATTCTTAATTCTAAAGTAATGTTTTTCCTATTAATTCCAATCTGACTCTGTTCTTTACTTCAGAATTTGTACTACAAAATGTAGTGTCATTGTCATCAGGTATGATGGGTGCTTTTTAGCAAAGATCCCACTTAGATACCCAACGAAATAGTTAAGCTCTAAAATATAAGCCTGTGTGTGCACTGTTTGTGAATTTGTGTATACATATCTATTGTGCATGTTAGGTAATAGTTAAAGCAAATGTTCAAATACAATGTGTTTAAAAAAAAAAAAGGTTTTTTGAATATCTATTTTAGAAGAAAATAGAAACAACTTATAGCAATGTCATTTTCTCAAAGTGCCAATACTTTCTCATTGTAGATCTCCAACTTCATGAACTCTTCTTAGTAATTAGTCAATGAATATTTTATCTTCTGATCTGTCTAGTGTATAAGTCTAATTGAAACGTTAATGCTTAGAGGAATGATATGGAGATATATTAAGAGACACAGCGCTTTTCAAAACTGATAAAATATTTAATTTCTGAATTTTTTTAGTCTTTTCTTTTTCTTCAGATAGGGTAATTTTATATCCTATATAATATGGCAAGGGTGAGGGGCATAACACTTTCATTATGTATAGTGTATATGTAATGTGCATAGCTCATAATTACATGCATGTTTACATGGGAATTGCATCTATGTTAATATTTTCTGGTTTGCATAACCCCATTTTGTGGCTGGCTTAACCTCATGCATTTTTCTATCAATATCTAATTAGCTTTGCATTTAAAAGTTTTTAAAACCCACTTTTCCCTTATATTCACAGGTCAACACTACTACTTTAATGCAATTTACAAGCAAAAGCACTAGATAGTCTGCAATACAAAGCAATTATCTGTATTCTTTCCTTTGCGGGGAGAGGAATTTTTACAGCATTATTCTTTGCTTAGCATTGATGTTCTTTTATTCTAAACATGAAAAATGCTGTTTATGCGCTTTATAATGGTGTAATTTTGATCATTGATAATGCTGGTAACAGGTCTTTTCAGCAGTCTTCATCAATACATCCTCTAGATAGGGTGATCTCTGGTGGGGAGGAATTTATGTCAAAGCACAGAAACTACTAATTTTCTGATGCAAAGTGAAGAAGACCCAAGAGATTCATAGTTTCTTGCACATTTTCTTGAGGTTTCTCTCAAAACATGTTCTTGCTAGATGTTGGAAACAAAAAGTAGCTGTGATAAAGCAACACACATCACTATAAAGCAACATGAAAATACATTTTAATAAAATTATGCTCCAAATGGTCCTCATCAAACATTTTATTGTAATTCTTAGGGTAAAAAGAAAATAAACTTCATAACATCAAAATATATAAAAGATAAATATCATGTGTGTTGGTCTATGTAAAAAAAAAAATCAGTTAAAATAAGAAAATTCTGTTTATCATATCTTTAAACTTCCTTTTGAATAAATGTGGGAAAACTTTTGTGATTAGTGAGGTACGTTAATACTACTTTTCTCTTGGAGCAACTTAGAAGTTAATCAGAGAAAGGGATTTTCTTTTGAAACCAAAATTACATTGCCTAATCTTTTAAGTTTTTAGATTATCTTTTTTTTGTTCCCAACACTATTGGAAAAACAAGTCATGCATTATAACTTAATATTTACATCTGCGGGTTTTAAACAGTGTACACTGTTAATACATTATGGCAACAAAATGAGCTGTCCTGATTTTACTGTTGTCATCTACAGCATCAGCAGGAATTGCTGTATCACAAAGGAAGGTGCGTCAGATCAGTGACCCTGTTCAGCAGATTCTTATTCAGCTGCACAAAATTATCTTCATCACTCAAGTATGCATTACTATTCCTTCTGACATTCTATACTTTTTAGTTATTTGCTGTTGTCAAAATGATGGTACTGCAAAGTGCTGCTAATATAGTCACTGTTCTTTAAAAACAACAGAACTTGACATTTTTGCAGATGGCAGGATGCTTTAAAAATATATCATTTAAATAAAGAGTAACCTTGAATATTAGTATGTGGAGGATGGCAATAATTGAGTCATGAAAAAAAATTCATTGGCTCAGCTCAGCAAAATGGATTGTACAGTAAATTATTTTTAAAGCATTCTGTCATGCCAGCAATATGAATATTGTAAGTGACTTAATATCATATACTGACATGGAGAGTACATAAAATGCTTTCCTCTATAGCAATAATTTCTAAATAACTTCTAAGTAATATTTTTTATTGTCAATAAGTAGTAATAATTTCCTGGGATTTCTAGTGCAATAGTTCAAATCCTGAATATGTTAAATATTTTGAAATGTCAGATCTTTTTCAAACTTAAGACTTATTTTAAAATTAAGTTCAAATATTTCATAGTGAAAAGAGAGTTGAAGTTATTTCATGCTGATTCCAAAGCAAAAATGGAACTGATATAAATCTGCATTGAGCTCTCAGCTAAAAATGTGATGGAAAACTTTTTATTCTCCAGAAAGATGGCTGTCATTCAGTTACTTGCAAAATTTTCTATTATTAAATAATCATCTTTTTGTTTTCCAAAATGAAGTGTTTATATTTGGGAAGTGATGTGTATCACCTCAGGGGATTTCAGATTGCTGAGCCAAATTTGTTTGGTTTTGCTTAGAACAGAATAGCATAATTGAACTTGGGTGTGTTTTACATGTCGTCTTTTTTTTTTTTTTTTTTTTTAAACTGTCAAGCTTATCAGAACAGGTAATACAAGAAATAAATTATCAGAGACAAAGAAAACGATTGTTATTTAAAATAATTGGAAATTATCTCCTTCCCCTGCTAACACAAATGAGGCAGCTCAGTCTTTACATGCTATATTAGGAGTATGTCCAAGATGCTCATTAGTGAACCTATCCTCTCTGTTGAAGAAGGTTTTAACAAGTGGCCTGCTAATTAATGCAAGTTATCATAATATGGATGCCCAATAACTGAGATCTAAGAGCAACTCAAAGACTCGCTCAGAATTGATCACTGAAGCAGTAGTAACAACTTTGATGCTTCTGGTGTCAGTTGCTTTCGGAATGGGAAGGCAGAGAAACCAGGATCCATACCTGTACTTTTTCACTGTTTACTCTGTGCTTCTCTTGTACTTGTTTATGTTCTTACAAATCTAAGGTAGAATATTTTTTATAACACATAGCTGTTTTCTAAAACTCTGTTACATATTTCAGCTGACATTTCTAAACTGAAGTTTACAAGGGAGAGTTCTTGCCTGTTAGTTCTTGGCTGCCAGCAGCCTTCCCAATCCAGTTTCCATGGGAACAAGAGTCAAAGTGATCTCTGGAAAACAATGTAAGAGAAAGCTTTTAAAAAAGCATTATGTAAATGCTTGGCTTTTTTTTTTTTTTTACTGATCTGACATCTGATTTCATTAAAACAAAAGCTAAAATTGAACACTAGTGCCTGAGGCAACTCTGAGTTTCTCAAGCAGTGGGCTTGTTCTTTACCACTTTTGCTTTAGAATATCCCAGTATGCCTATGGTAAATTAACTGCACACAGTTCATTGTAGTGACATGTAGTCTACAGAGCATCTTGCAGGCCTTTCCTAAGGCATCATTTTTTTTACTCACTTATGGGCTAAGAAACATTCAACACTTGACTTAAAGCATATGTGTAAGGCCTTATCTGCGTGAAAAGAGAGTATGTATCTGTAACAAAAAACTGTATGCAACCAGCTGTCTGATGAAGTCTTGTATGCTTAGGATGTAACCTTGATCCCTGGTTTGTCAGAGCACATCAGGACTCCTGTGAGGCCAATATAGCTGTTCCAGGTTTATAGCTGTCTAAGAGCAATAATTTGTTCCAACGGGGAAAAAAAATCTTTATAATGTGTACCGTGACAGTGTTTGAATGTGAATCATTAGTGGTCAAACATTCCTTGAGTAGTCAAAAAGCTTTCTGACTTCAGTGGAGTGGCACTTTGTGAATTTACGTCAACAAAGTGATTATAAAGTGTATACTAAATGGTAGAAAATCATAGTTTTACAAACACTGTCTGCAAGTATAAGCAATTACACAGGAACAGCATAGGAGATCCTTCCAAAAGGGTAGTACATACCATAGAGTTGTCAACAGACTGGGTTGGTGTCATTGCAGTGACCAACAGCTGAAGCTTTACATTTACTGTTGGAGCATAAAAATTATTTTAAAATCTCAAAGAGCAAAGGAAGAGACCTCCTTTGAACTCTCTACTGAAGACTTTAAAACTCAATAAAGTATGGTTTTGCTTTTCTTTTGTGAATATAGTTGAAAGATGTGTACTTTTTCAACCAAAAAATACAGGAGAAAAAGTATACAAAATCAATTTTGCTTTATAGACAAGTGAAATGTAAATTACCTCCTACAGGAAGCTTCTAGAAAAAGAGGCATTCTGAATTGTATTAAGATGTGCATAAGGACATTAAAAGAGCCTGTTGAAGCCTTTCTACACACGCTGAATGAAGGTCTAAGCGTCTTGAAGTTCCATTAATTTCAGCTGGAGTGACTCATTATAGCCAACATGAAATCTAGTCTAATGTCCTATGGGCTTCATCTGTAGAAAAATGTCCCAAATACTAGCACTTTGATCAGGGAGACCGTCACGTCCCAAAGTTGGAGCAACTCACGTTCGTGGATTTCCTTTGTCAGAATTACAGTGAAACAACACCAGGGGAGTTCAAACAACATTTATCCAACCTAGCTAACCTTGCCCAAGTACAAGTGAACTTATCCATATGAACCTTGCAACGTGTCGTTAAGCTGCTGTTTGAAAAGAGAAGGGAGCTGTAGAAAAAGAAATGGAAAAAGGAACATGAAATGTATCAGAAGGAGAGCCCTCCCACTGAGTCTCGAGGTTCAGAGCAGACCCCCTTGCTTTCTGGACTCCTTCTCAAAGAGGAGCCCAGGGGTGGCTAGATCCACTCCTAGTCTCAGACTTGGTCAACGGTTTATGTTTAAAAGGATGAGGTGTAGGGACTGTGGAAAAGAGAAGGAAAAGAGGGAGAGAGAGAAAGAGAGAAGAAAAGGGTTTCACCAGTCCTGGGTCCAGCATTGGTCCAGCCAGTGTAGAAATCCAGTTCCGGAGGGCGTGTACTGAGAACTCGTTCTCCCTTCTTTTATAGTGTTAGTCGATGGTATCGACATGCGCAGTTCCCATTCCCGAGGTTTTCTGGAATTGGTTGGTGAGCTTTGGGGGGGGGGTGTTCATTGCGGAGTTGCCTCTTTTTTCCTGCTGGCATGATGGCTTAAGATAGAAGCACAGTCCCATCTTCTGTGGGGCCTCCTCCTCCAGGCGCATATGCTGTGCTCCTTCTCCCGCTCACTTAAGATAAGGAATTGCGGCTTTGGAGAAGCACAGTCCCACCCTCCATGGGGCCCTCTCCTCCAGCCACATTGTCTTGTTCACAAAACTCCAGCATTTTTACAGAGGCCGTTTTCTCCACCAAAGTTCTTCAACGAATGTTTGAGACATTGACTATAATTTGTCAGACTGTCACAGAGGCAAATCTAGTATTATCTGTATTAGGCTTTTTGTAATGATCTTTACCTTCAAGGCTAGAGGGACTGAGTTATATGATATGCCAAGCCTAACAGAATGGGCAAACTAAGGAGCATAATTAAAATATGCCATTAAATCAAGTCTTGTACTGTTGTTTATCACCATGCTATTAAATATATTAAATATCAATGTTTCTTTTTGCAGTGTAGCTACTTTTTTCAATAATGGTACTGCTCATTAGGTCATCTTTATGGCAGGTGTAACTGAGTGGTGAAAACATCTGGTTTTTTGTTTCATGCAGCTTCCTCCAGCTTTGCAATGCAACTTGAAAAGGAGAATCATTGAGAGATTCAAGAAGTCCCTTTTCAGTCAGCAGAGCAATCCTTGTAATCTGAAATCAGAAATGAAAAAGGTGTAGTACACCCATTACTACATGTGGTTGACTTTGTCTCTTGTTGTATTTGAATTAAGCTATTGATATTAATATCACAAAAATGTAAGTGTAAGATTCCATTTTTAAAAGGAAATATTTAGAATATTCTCTAGCTATCCTTTATTTGGAAAATATGGAGGCTTCTTAAGTAAGCAGTTTCTACAGAATGGTTTCAAGTTTGTGTTTGATCATTAGAACACTTTTTGTAAATGGAAAGGACCTCCTAACTGCTAATGTGCAAAACCTGACTTCATCTCATTAGGGCTCAAAAAAAGAAGAGGAAGGAAAATGTAACTTTCTGTGGCAAAGGCTAATAGAAATTTTGTAAGGTCTTAATTTATGTAAGGTCTTCTTAATTTGTTATTAGTTTCCCAATATTATTCATGTTTTGGAATGTATTCCTATTCAAAGTATGAATTTTAAGAAAGCACTGTCCCAGTGTGTCTTAAATATAGCAGACCTTGTCTTATTGTTGCATAGTGTGTCAGCAATAGTTTAGTGTCATCAGTTTAAAAATACTGCAGATTTGCAAGAATGGCATGACTAAAGAACCATGTTTTCATGTTTTCTAATGACATGTTGGGCGCTCTCCAACAGAGAAGGAGCTAATGACTAATATCAGAATTTCTAAATGTCCTTCAAAATCTCCTGAGAAGACGATAGTCAGGAGAGGATCTGAAAATTATATCCTTGGCATCTGTGTGCTGTGGGAGACTGTGAAGCTAAGATATTTCATTTTTTAAATTGATGACAAAGCAGTTATTAGGTATGTTACTGTATCTAAAATTTGATGACAAAGATGATTTCTTATCACTCTCATAATTCCTCTGTGTAATCTAATTTGATTATCACCTACTTGCACTGAATTGTGGGATATTCTAAGTCACTGTTTGCTACGGAATGGACTGACCCCAAATGCTAAATCCTTCCTGTGCTTTTGTAATAATTAATCTGACATGCGTAAGCTCCGTGGAAGGTGGCTACTTAGTGTTTACATTGGTTTACATTGATAGTACATTTGAAAGATAGTTAAAGATGCCTCTCTGAGCCATCAGTTTCATGCCAATTTGCTGTCCTGCAAATCAAGCTGGGATTTATGTTAAACAATTCCTGTATTTCAGCCATAACATTAAATCTAAGGAAATATTTGCTAATCATGTATTGAGTTGATGTTTTGAGCAAAGGATGCCCCAAAATATGGTAAGAAAAAGGAAGTGTTTATTATAAGATTAACCTAATTTTCAAATGCCCAGAAATAAAGCAACCTGTTTGTTTATAAATTTATAAATATTATCAACTGTGAAATTGTGTTAGCTTCAAAACTATTGGATTTAAACCTGCAGAAAATGAAAGAAATATACTATTTAAAGAGTAAATGGTAGTAAACTGAAGATGTTTGGAATACTGAATGTGATTCTGGGCATTTCTACCTTGAAGGAAAAAGTTACAGAAATAATTAATACAAAGCAACAAGAAAAAGCACAGTTAGAAGGATAAGCATCAGTGAATAAATAGTACATATTTTCCCCAAATCGCCACCATAAATACATTGGGTAACAAGGATATCATTTGGAGGCGATAGGAAAAACCTAAACTGAGAAAAGAATTAGGCTGAAGTCTTCCAGCAAGTATTGTTACATGGTTGTGCAATTTCTGCAAATAAAAATTAAAAATCATGGGGTTTTAACCGTGCTGAAGTAGAAAACCTAATTAGAATACAGACAAAAAGATTCTGCCACTGATTGGTGGTGGGGTAAAGGTCTTCCAACAACAGATATTCTTCTGTTTCTGTAACTGTAAAAGTGTTAACATGCTGCAGAAATGCATAACTGGAATTTCTTTCCTGCCCACAAAGATATTTTCATGTCAGAGTTGTTACTGGTGGATATTTTCAAAACTAGATGTTTTTCAGTTTAATGTCAGTATCCTTGCTCACATAATCAAGTAGCTGAACTGACTTTCAGGTTTCAGAAGTGCTGGGATCCCTCTAATGGGAATTATATTATTAGATATATGGACTAATGATTTCACTTGAAGCCTCAGTTTCGAAAACCAAAGTCATCAGATATTTCTGTCCTAGGTTTGAGGGAATACAATTCCCTGTTTGTCTTCACACAAATGTATAGTTTATGACATTTTATTTGGACAGTCTAAAGAACTCAGTGCTTTATACTAAGTGCAGATTGGCAGCTTGCAATGTTCAGTCAGTGTTTCTGGAAAGAAGTATTGAAAGTATTGAAATCTCCTTTGACTTTTGTTTGCATTGGGAAACATAGGAAAGGGTAAACTGCCTTATAGAAGTCTGAAGTTTTGGCAAGTGGGAAGGATGGAGATTTCAGGTGTCCTTTACTTTTCTCTCTCTATTTTTTTTTCTTCCCCAGCTGCTGCAAGGTTCTCCTGAAATGATTGAGCCCAGCTTCTTCACAGCAGATTGGCATGTGGTACTTCTCTCTTCAGGTGGGAATATGTTGCCTCCAGATGATAGAAAAGGTAAAGAAAGCAACAAAACCTCTGTAGTGGCATATATATTTCTAATGAAGTGTATGGTATCAAAGCAGAAGGAAGTGCTGCTCAAAGATCTGTCTTTAAAGACAGTAAAGTTATGTTGACTATACTGATTTTCATTATCAGGGTTTTTTTTGTTTGTTTTTTTGTTTTGTTTAATTCCTGGTAAGATATGCAGTTTACCACTGATGGAAAATTCTGCTAATTTAAGAGAGTATACTTTGGAATTACAAAGAAGTATCAAAGATGCAAACAACACATGATTCATCCATGAAAATCAAAAGAAATATTTGTAGCTGAAAAAGTCCTACTTAGGATTTACTTGTCCTTGCATGTGACTTTTAAACAAACAGTATTTAAACCCTATGTTGTTCTTCTGTCATGTTTGAAACAGTTGTACTGGGATGATTTAATTACCTAGCTAGATCAAGCTCTACAAACTTGAGAAGCGAAGTGCTACACCACATGTATATAATGTAAAGTGTGTGTGTGTATATATATATGTGCTTTAGAAAATTAATAGTGCGAAATATACTTAGGACTAGTGATGCTCAGTGTGACAAATCATAAAATCCATCTCTAATCAAACCTACCATCACTGGCATCATCCAGGGTGGGGAACCACAATTCCTGGTTCAGAGACTTGTTTCGTTATATACCTCTTTGTGCAATGGACATAAGGGAAATGTGCAGCCTGTATTTTGGTATTTGTGCCATTTCCATTCTTCTAAATACAGGAGAAGCTATGTTGGAATCCATGGACTAAAGGACATAGTAACATTAAACACTGTGGTGCTAGAAAGAAGGGTGAGAAACTTGTTTTGCTGGTCTTTGTGTTGAAACTAGCTTATCAGTTCCACAGCTTATTGCAAAAACCAAAAATAATACTAGGTGTCAAGGGTGATATTTGACTAGGAAATGAGTTCCTAACAATCACTTTAAATATGAGCTTTCTTTTGTTCCCAGAGACAACAATGCAATTTATACAGATGCTCAGTATCTGTAATTTTTGAATCTCTTAACCTGCAAAGAATACTTTTGTTCTCACAAATTGCTGCTGGCTGTGTGCCCTTTCCACTATAAATTGTAAGTGGGGAAGAAAAAGAAAGTTGCATCGCTGTGTTCTGTTACATCAAGTATTTAAAATATTTCCCATCAGTTAGAACTCTTTCATAATGTGATAACACTGTGTGCCTCAAATGTTCACATCATGCCATAAGATACCTCCCACCTTTGCAGGGGGTCATTGCGGACACTGGAATAAGCTGTTGATAATCAAGCATCTCTCTTGTCATTATATTTGTAGTGGAATTGATAAGAAGCTGATGAGGGAGCGTAAACCCCAAATTCAGTAGTATAACATTACTTGCCTTTTACTTTAAGGTATTGTTGGCACTTCTGACATAGCAGGAGGGATGACGTATGAACAATTGCAGGTAAGCTATAAATATACCTATATGTATTAATTTATTACTTTTAATAAAGACAATTTACTGAAATGAATTTCTTTTATCTTGTAGACTCTAATTGAAGAGGTTCTAGAGGAAAGTGGTTATTACAATTTCTCTTCTAACAGGTGAGTCTGTTCAATTTAAAAAGAAAAAGTTAATTATGATGTGCTAAACCCAAATGGATCATTTGCCTGTTTACGTGATTGCAATTTCATTTTAAACGCAGTGCAATACTGGTTTATTATAATACGTGGATGCATGGACTGGAAGAAATGTACATGGGACATCTAAGCAGGTTTTTTGGCTGCATCATTTCTTCAGATGATAGAGTGGTGCTAGTTTGGCAGCAGTTTCCTCACATTTTTCCCATATAAAACCACAGCTGAACAAAAGTTTCATTTAAATAGAAGTATATTTTATTATAATACTCTACCATTACAGGGTTGAAGAGAAGAAGGTGACATATTTAGTAAAATATTTGAGTACAGCACAACAAGCAGAGTAAGTGGTTGCTAGCACAAAAGTGCAGGGGATGAAAAAAATGTACGTCTTTGAAACCAGGCAAATGCCTTGTCCTAGAGATGGTATATCGTTCATGCAGGTAACCTTTGAGGAACACAAGAAAGAAAATATATGAAAAATACCATTATAGTCCACAACATAAGCTTAGCATTTCTCATTCTTTTTGCCTGCTTGCCTGTTATTTATCATCTCAGGTATTCTTTAGTGCAAAAAAAGTTCACTACTTCCATCAAGTAAGTCTGTTCCTTGTCTTTGCAGTAATCAACATTTAAGAGTCTGGGAGACTGCAGTTAGGTTTTCTAAAACAAAAAAACACACACCACCCCTACCCCCACCACCCTCAATACAGATACTAAGAGATTTTAAGAATTTGTAGTTCCTGGTGCCTCAGTGGTATTTTTCAGTTATTTATTATCTCTGCAGATTTTTTTGTGTGGATTGACTCTAGCTTGAAAAGTTTCAAATGTTAGTCTGAATATTTTTATAGGCTACTCATTAAATTGGAATTCCAACTTACAAGTGTCTTACAGCTGCCAGCTGTAAGTATTGAAAAATCATGATTCAGCACTCCAAAAATAAAATAATAATTCACTCTTTAAACCTTCAGGGTATACTTGAATCATGTTCACAAATCATTTTTGCAGCCATGAGGTCTAACAAATTTGTTTATAAGTGTTTTCAAGTATCTTAAATTTTTGTCCTAATCACAAGCTCCCAAGATTTTGTGCTGTAGAAAAAATATCACACAACTTATGAAAAAAAAAAGAAAAAGGGTCTCATTTTTAACATCAAGATCTAGTAAGTCTTATTATAAATGTATAAATGTGTTGTAGTTGTATAGGCATTTACCTTACAAACAGACTGGCAAAAAGCGTCTTACTGCAATTAACTGTAATGAAGCAGGTGTTTGCTGACTATAGACTCGAGTATTTTACACAAACTACTATAAAAATAAGATATCTATTAACAGAAGTCATAGAATCATAGAGTATCTCAAGTTGAAAGGACCCATAAGGATCATCGAGTCCAAATCCCTGCTCCTCACAGGACTACCTAAAACTAAACTATATGACCAAGAGCATTGTCCAGAGTCTCCTTGAACTCTGACAGGCTTGGTGCCACAACCACTTCCCTGGGGAGCCTGTTCCAGTGACTGACCACCCTCTCGGTGAAGAACTTTTTCCTAATGTCCTATCTGAACTTCCCCTAGCACAGCTTCATTCCATTTCCTCATGTCCTATTGCTGTAAATGTAATTGCCAAAATGTAAAGGATGCTTAAAGATTGCAGGCAAATATGCTAGTACTTTTAACACGTAACATAGGAATGCCACAGAAATGCATAAGAGACTAACAGCAGTAAAATCATTAACATTCTGTTTTTCCTGATTTATTCAGGGCTACTTATTTTTCTGCTGTGCTCTAATTGCCTAGAGAGTAGTTGTTCTGTAGAATCCGAAGTTATTTTTCTACATTTTCTAAAATTTTATTTTAGACGAGACCTAAGAGAATATTCTTCATAGCCCCATGGGATGATAGTGTAGTATAAGGTGTTCTTCTCTATGCTATGTCACCAGCAACTTGATTTTTCACTATGCTTTTGAATCCTATTACCTACTGTGATGCATAATTATGTTTGGTTCCCCTGTCACCATTACATTACTTCTTTTCCAGACAAGGTTCTACTCCAAACAACTTACTATTTTTCCTTCTCTTTCAGCAAATGGACAGACCATGCTTTGGCCTTGGCTGTCAAAAACATGTCTTTATTTCCATGTTTTCTAAAGTATGCTCTGCTCAATGCCATTCAGAGCTTTCAGAACTTAAGCAATTTTTGTTTGTTTGTTTGTTTTGCTTCTCACACTCTCTCCAAATAGCCTAACAGTCTGACTTTGATAGCTGTCCAGTACTGAATGATTTGTTTGCCTAGCAGACATGCATCATTAGGTTTTGCCTCAAACTCTCCAAAGAGCTTAAGCAAGCTAGAAGGACAAATCAGTCTCCCAAGCTGCACGGCAAGTCACTTATCAGTGTCCACCGCTATCTGGTTTTATTCCACCATGCAGAATTTGGTTTGCAGGCCTCAGAGCAACATCCTATCAGGCATTCTTGCCTAAAACTGTTTTGAGCCTTGCTCTACCTCCTCTCTTTTATGCACAGTGAAACATTTCAGAAGCAACTGCAAATTTTCCAGCAGCAACTCAGTACATCCTGTAGCTTTCCTGGGATCCCCTTCTTAGAAAGTGTTCACAGAAGAGCTTTAGAAAAAAGTACTAGAAGTAATGAATATCTGTATCTTGTCTGCTTTAGCAACATATAGGGCAATACACCTATTTTTAAACTTTCTTAGCTTATTTTAAAAGCTTTTCATTTAGATTGAGTTTTTCAGTTTCTAAGATGGAAAGTTGTAATGATGCAGCATGTGTGGGTCTTTCAAAGTGGAAACAGAATGACAGTATTTCTAGCAGGAAACAAATAGCATTCCCTTCTGCCCATAATTAGTTTCTAGCTCTTCTAATAGAAATGTGAAAAAAAAGAACTCCAAAGGCTCAAAAGTCTTCAGAAGGCACATCAGAACACCACAAACTGAATTTGTGAATTTGCAAATTTTTAAAGATATTTCTTCATTTTAGGGCCAAATTTCTTCATGATTTCTGACCAAATTGACTTGACAGTATCAGTTCCATATGTTGTAAGGCTGCAAGGTGAATTCTGTTGTGGAACAAAGAATTCCACAGCTGCTTTGCAACGACATGTATGCTATTGCTAAACGCACTATTAAATGCAGAATAAACAGCTAGATAGCATATAGTGTAATAATGCAATCTCCTACCTCACTGTGGAACACACTTTATAGAGAAAACATTCTGAAATTTTTTTTTTCTTTTCTGTTTTGGAGGGATTTATGTGCATTGTCTTTCTTTCCCATCTTGCCCCTTGCTGTGCCCCCTGAAATTCCAGGAATATATGATGGGAAACCAAACTTCAGGTGAGGTGTTGACATGAGAATTGTAGTAGAATGAATAAACTGTATAAAGGGTTACAAATGATTCAAGCAGCTTGATTGGGTGATGAGAGAAACATGAATTCTTTAGAAACTGAGACAGCTTCATAAGAAAAATGTCATGCTTTTTTTCTTTCTTTTTCATTATAATAGTAATTACTATCTCAATACCACTCATTTCATGGGGATTAATGACCAGCTGAGGATAATGACCCTCAGCTTTATCTTGAATAATCAACTCGTGCTCATTTATCACTAATCTCCTGAAATTACTCAGCACTCCAACTGTATTACTTATTTGTACAGAAATTTGGTAAACATGAATAAAAAAAAACCTGTAATGTTTCAGAATTATTCTATTCACATCCATTGTGCCACTCTTTCTTTTTTTCTCTTTCTGATTTAATATTATACTGCACAAGAGGCAAGCTCCTTGTTTGTGAGCCTATTTGTGAATAGGACAATGAATACTGGTTTCAAACTTTCATCATGCTTTTTTATATTGAAGTAGACATGTAATACCCAAATTGATGCAGAAATCTATTTTTAATAAATTGCATTAAGAGACTTAATCCAAGCAGAAACTCAGTTATATGAAAAAAAGATTTGTTATAAATAAACAAAAATAGCAATGGTCAGAGACAGGCGTTGTGTTCAGCTGAGTGCTGTAGCTCTGTCATGGTTTAACCCCAGTAGGCAGCTCAGCACCACGCAGCTGCTCACTCACTCCCCCGCAGCGGGATGGGGGAGAGAATCAGAAGGGTAAAAGTGAGAAAGCTCTTGGCTTGAGATAAAGACAGTTTAATAGGTAAGGCAAAAGCTGTGCATGAAGCAAAGCAAAATAAGAAATTAATTCGCTACTTCCCATTAGCAAGCTGATGCTTAGTCGTTTCTGGGAAAGCAGGTGTTCATCAAGTCTAACAGTTACTTGGGGAGGCAAATGCCGTAACTCCGAACATGCTCCACCCGCCCCCCGCTTCCTTATTCTTTCCCCCAACTTTATATGCTGAGCATGACATCATATGGTCCGGAATATCCCTGTGGTCAATTGGGGTCAGCTGTCCCGGCTGTGTCCCCTCCCAACTTCTTGTGCCCCCCCAGCCTCCTCGCTGGTGGGGTGGGGTGAGAAGCAGAAAAGGCCTTGGCTCTGTGTAAGCACTGCTCAGCAGTGAGGAAAACACCCCTGTGTGATCAGCACTGTTTTCAGCACAAATCCAAAACATAGCCCCATACTAGCTACTGTGAAGACATTTAACTATCCCAGCCAAAACTAGTACAACCTCATATGATCAGAGGTCTGTTTATGAGAGAAATGTTGTTTCAACATTAGTTTTGTAGGAAAAAAAATGCAAGTAAGAATAGGAGGAAACAGTCTTCATAATCAAATGCATATATTGATATGTTGTCACTTGTAATTTTCATAACTTTGTTCAATGCAATCTTTTCCATTGTTATTGAAGTTTTAGAATTAGAGAACCAACCATTCGTGTAGTTAGAAAGAGCTATTTCATGAAGAGGAAAACTGTCAAGTCCGGCTCTAATGATAGCTATACATTTTTAACTACTCAAAGAATAGCTCAAGGTATTATTCACAGAAAGAT